CACCTGACGAGTCCCAATGAGGATGAAACCTATGACATGGTACCACCTGGTGATGGTCAGTATAACTGAAAATACCACACAGGATATACACCAGCGTCTGACAACCTTGGCAACTTTAAGATGTGTGGACTTCAACTCCCAGAATTCTCCAGCCAGCACTGAAGTCCACACATCTTAAAGTTGCCAAGGTTGACAAACATTGACATACACTGTGTAAAAAATGGAGGAAATTCTGCCCTGTTTCCAAGAGGGTGTATGTGGAAGTCATGTAAAACCCTGCCCATGGGGACATGACATAATATAATATCTGTATCTCTCTGCTCTGAGAGCTTAAGGGAAGGTAGACTCTATATACTGTTCTGACAGCACTACTATAATCTAGAAAATGGTGAAGCATAAGCAACTTAGCCCCTGTGATCCATTCTAAAAATTCAAATGAACAAAACAACTTTAATAGTTACCCATATCCCTTTACTAAGGGATGGCAAATGCATTTCTTGGGCCCCACTTTAAGCCTCAAACCACAACAAAGAGGTTTGAGGGGGAGAGGAGATGTATATGCTGCGTTATGTGTTACACTATGAATAAATCATATTAAAACCAGAGTTTACCCTCCCAAATACATAACAAGTACTTTGTTCAACTGAATCATGTCCCATCTAATTCAGTATTTAATTCCACGAATCTCAGGTATCAGGAGTTGCTACACTGCCCACCAGCAGACCCTAATTGCCTTTGGTCTACATGTTTTATAGGGATTATCTTTTTAGGATATTGGGTGTTCCCACCCAAAAACTCTCCACAGACTTTACAGTTTATGAAAAGTTGGGAAGCCAGGTATAACAACACACTCCAGAATGCTTAGAGAGGCACTGCTGTCTTTGCAGCTGCAGATATTGGTCCACATACTATTTCACATTCTTGGTACTTGATTTAGTATGTGTCAGAGATATACCCCTCAAATCAGGTTAGGGTAAAGTAAAACCATGTTTTCCTTATCATGGTTTCTTAACTAAACTCAGTGGCTTAAATCACACAATACACCAAACTGATCAGACTGGCTGGGTTCTCACGGCACATTGAATACAAACTAATCATTTTAAATTAGCATGTTGTGCAAACCCAGATGCAATTATCTGATTTGTTCTGCACTTGTTTGGCATATTTATGGATTTCTAAACAATGAGGCAAGGGTCCCAACATTATTTGGAGATGTAAATGTTCAAGTAAGTAAACAAGCAAGCGAGTTGTAGTTTGGAGATTTTCTCCATGTCTTTTTAAAAAAAGCTGGTAAAAACCTGTTTGGTGCCATAGACAATGGTACAATATAAAAACAACTAGAGGAAAAATGCAAGGAAAAAAAGTGGACTGGCCAAACCTGCCCATCTAGGTTATATTATGTAACTTATGTCATATTATTTAACCACGCTCCAGGAATCAGTGGAATCAGTGCAAGCGCAGCACCACGTAGCAGAGTTAATTTATAGCCAAGGCACTTTATTTTTAACAAGGCAAGCTAGGAATTTGGGAAAAATAAAGTGACTGATAACTCAAACTAGTATACTGCAATCATAGTATTCCATCTCATGAGCAACAATTGCAATTAAAGTGCTATCTCCCATATAATTCAATGCCTCAAATATTCAACAAAATATTCAACAAAAGTATAACATTTTTTGGTCTTAGCCAAGTAGATGCCCCCCTGGCCCATGCTCTCCCACCCAACAAACCACACACATTAACACAAAGAGGACCTTTTAAAAAGATGATGTGAAGCTAGCAGAGGAACAGATATTGGTTGGACTGCACATCAAACTATGTCATAATGTGATTTGTTTAGTTTTAGCTTAGTGTAATGTGTGAGACTACCCACTATGGTTTGTAAACCATTATTTAAGCCATAAACCATGGGCCAGTTTTTGCATAAGCAATTTATAGTTTGTCATATGTGAGCCCGGCCAACTGTGGTTTATTTAAAAACATGGTTAAACAAATAATGGTTAGGATAGTAAATGAATCCAGCCAGCAAATTGCTATCTACTATTATCTATCAATGTCTATCTATGTGGTCGCTAGGAGCCGAAAACGACTTGAAGACACACAATCGATCAATTAATTATGTTTTCAAACCTTGAGAAAGAACTTTAACATTACATTCTATTCAGCAATCAAGGTTCTTTGTATGTGTGTGTGTGTGTGTGTGTAGGTAAAGATAAATATTCCTTTGAGTCAAGCTAAACAACTGGTGACTACATGAATACTGTATGTCAGTTTAACTGTGTTAACAACAGTATGGAAGTGGTTTTCCACTGCCTTGTGCCAGAATGTTTTTTCAATTTTCAGTCTGGTGATCTATATCTTTATTAATGTTTTGTTTTACTATTTTTACTAGTGTTCAATATTCCTGCCCTTGGCTGTAATAAGATATGATTAAGATTATGACTATGTCATCTTGAGATAGAAACAAAACCAAATGATCCATTACTCAGTTAATTAATGAGGAAATAATATTCCTTAGTTAAGTTAAACAAATAAATGATATATGTGCATATTCCCTCAATACATACTGTTTTTTAAGAATACAGTACTGAGTTTAAAATAACTCAGACCCAAATAATTAACACCATTGGGATCTGTTTGTTTTGACAGCATTTCCTGTTGAAATTGGAATTGCAATAATAGACTTCTGTAGTATGATGCAATTCTGTGTTCCTAATGTAGATTAATCTTACAAAAACAGAAATTATATTAGATTAATAATTTTTCCAGGCAAAAAGGAATATTACCTTAAAGTTCACATATGCCACGTTACCGAAACCAATTCTATAGAGTGGGAACAGCTAAGCTTTAGGCATAACAGAGCTGGTGAATGATAGGATGAATAAAAGAGATCAATATGGGGAGTCAATATGGGGAGATCAATATCCAAAAAAGAGAAAAGTACAGCACAAAAAACTTTCTTGGGAGTGCATCCCTCTATATTCAGTGAAACTTCTTAATGCATAAACTGAGATTTCAGCAGCAGACTTTATTAGATAGCAAAAAAGGGAAAATGCCCTGTTCCAATATGAAATATGGAAAAAAATCCAGCCCTACACTTTTAATCCCAGTGAGACTTCTTTCTGTGTAAAATGGGCTCAGAAGTTCTGTGGATCCACATTAGGCCTATTTTGTGTAGAACTAGACCTAATCATGCATTATTACCTGCACAAACAAGACTAAATAGAATAAATTATTATTATTATTTACATTTATATTTATAGGCCCACTGAATCCCTAAGGACTTTTGATAACGTACAGATAAGATACATACAAAACAATATACAATGAATAAAAAGTAAATCTAAGACCTATTAAATAATTGAAAATGTATAAACTTGAATTCCAGTCTGCGTCTCTGTAGACTAAGAACACAGTACAGTACAGTATATCTCTAGCATCTTAGAAATATTTTTCCCCTTATCCTGCTATCTGAAACTGTTTTAACTGGGGAATCGGTGACTTGTAGGATGTTTTCTGCCACTGAGTTCACATTTTCCTTTTAGGGAAGAGGGAATAAAACAACTGGCAAATTGCCTGAGGCTGTTTCACAGTGGGGTTCTTAACATTTGATAAATTCATGTTTGATGGTCTTGATACCCTCTTTCTGTTGATGCAGCCTAGGATTGCATTTGTGGGTTGCATCACAATGTTTGCTCACATTCTGCTTGTTACTGACCAAGACTTCTAGATTTTTTTCACATGTATTACTGTCCACTATGGTTACTCTCTGCCCTGTACTAATGCATTTGATTTTTCCTATTCAGATGTGGCCCATTTAGCATTTGAAAAATTTTTTTTTTTTGGTCAAAATGGGTCCCTATACGAGCTTTACAACAATTTCATTTATAAAAATAGTCTTTCCTTCTTTCTAAGTTATTCATTAATAATAATAATATTCAGTGGAGCAAGAAGAGCAAGAAGGGGATGCTGTTCCATGAGGATTTTTTAAAAAGAAAACTGGTGTGATTATCAGTTTTGGCCATCGCGGTACACGTAAGGCTTATAGTGAGGAAAACTGTGTCCCGGGGCCATTAAAGATTAGAAGGCCAGGGAATTTCTATCTAAATTATTCCTTCAGGAGCTCAAGGCGGTGTACATTAGTGGGCTGTTGGATGAGTCGGAGGGGGCAAGTTGAAGACAGGAGAGTGTTTATTGCATATTACAAATATTTTTGCTGTTGGAGTTCATACAGAATAAACGGGTCCCTGCGGTTGCCCCATGTTTTCACACTTCCGCCATTAAACCCTTGATCGTGCACAACTACCTCAGCGAGCGGAGACAATTCTGTCCCTGCTTGTCCTCGTCACCCTCGAGAAAGGCACCTTTCACAACCAATTGAATGCTTAAGTCCACTTTCCTTAAGCCAATGAGAAAAAAAAGACAACTTTCCACTTGGACCCGCCTATTCCATCCTAACGAATAATATACTAAGGTGTGCGCACGCGCAGTCTTTACCAACTCCTCCCCCATCCTTCGCCGCGGCCCATCAGCCAATCAGAAACGCCTTCTCCCCCTTTCAAGGCGAGGAGGTAGGGAGAGAAAATATTGTTTACCTCAAAGAGAGAGAGACTGCGTGAGCAAACGGTGGAGAAGGAGAAGAGGAGGAGGAGAAGGAGGAGGACAAGAAGGGGGCGTGGTTTTATTCTTTCACGAAGGATTGGCGAGGCAGCAGATTCGAATTGGGAGAGCGTTGCCCTAAATACCGGAAGTAGGCAGGGCTTTCGTTAAATGCAAGTGGGTGCGCTCACGCAATTCTACGCCACGGATGGGCGGGACTATCTCCGCCCACTGCCATATAAAGGCAGTTGGCCGACCTCTGCCGTCCGCCATTTTGTGCTGCAGAAGAGAGGAGGACGAAGGGAGTCCTTGCCAAGAGGTAGCCGAGAAGGAGGGGGCTGGAAGGAGGAGGAGAAAAGGGCAAAGACCCGACCGGGGGTTCGGCGACCAGGGGGCGGCCCGGATGGTGAAATCCTCCCTGCAGCGGATCCTCAACAGTCACTGCTTTGCCCGCGAGAAGGAAGGAAATAAAAAGACCAGTATCGCCACCATGCCCACCCTGCCCACCAACGCCGCTTTGAGGAGGTGAGGAGAGAAAACGGCTAAAATAACGCCTGGTTTTGCCTCACGGTCTGTGGCCTAGTCCCGCGGCCTCGCCCTACAAGCCCCGCCCGAGCACGAGGGAGGGGGCGGTGCCAACTGGGACCACGCCCCCTCTTTCTCCACCAGAAGAGTAGGGTAGGGGGAGAGGTCTCGGAAACCGATGTCACCCTCTTTCGTTCAGACGCTGATCGGGCCGCTTCTCCCTCCCACGATGGTTACTAGGAACCGGTTCTCCCAAGTCATGCTCGTGCGGGGGAGGGATGCGTGTCTCCTGCGGCCTTCCCTCCCCGTATATTTCACTTAGTCTACGGGGAGCGGCTATTGGGGTTGCCATCCAATGTTTTTAGCTGTTCAGGAAACCCTTGGGCCCTGATCTTTAGCTTTTATAGCTTCCAGAGCAGCTCGTGGGGGCAGGACAGCCCCTGCCCCCTCCGACTTCGAAGCCGAAAGCCTGGCACAAAAGAGGAAGGAAGAAAAGGGAACCGAGTGTGCGGTTCTTAAACGTTCCCTGTAGGACCTCCACCTTTCCTGCTAGCTGTACGCTTTTATTAGGTAGTTTCCGCACAGAAGAGTACAGTAGTAAGAGGTGGAATTGATTTTTCCCCCCCATAAATCAACAGAGGGTGTCTCACTTTCCCTCGTGTCCCTTAGATACAGCCTAAGCTGGTGGATACCTAATTACTATTTTGGGCTCGGAGGAGAAAATTAAAAATTCTGATTGGTCTCTTCATGAAGAGAAAGGATTACTTGTTCTATCCCATAAAAAGTATGTGTGATTTCCTCAGTACAGGGAGGATGAAATAAGATTGTATTGAGGCTAAAAAGCCTGAATTCATTTTATTCTCTAGCTTCCCTTTTCCCCAATTATGTAAAGCGGAGAATTTTTAGTTATACTTGAGGGGAGAGAATTGGAAGTTGGAAAAATTTGTGTATTTGTTCAAAGTAAATTAAGATGTTACTGTTTTCTGAGCACCCAGTGGTAGTATAAGGTCCAGCAATCAAGTAGCTGTAGGAAATGTGTCTTTTCAAGCATGAATAAATGCCCCCTAGGAAAGAACAGTGTTTTGCTATATATGTGAGTGATAGAATTATGTTGGATCATCCACTTTCCCCTGATGTACATGAAAAAAGCCCTATATTCATAGAGGGGAAAATCTCTCCCCCAGCTAATATGGTTTAATGCTTATTCGTAGCTTTCCATTAAAAGGGGAGAAAAATCCTATGTCCTTAGATGCATACAATCTGCTGTGCTTAGATGTAATAATGCCCCCCTCCAAATTAGATGATGAATTGCAGGCACCGTGATATGCTGGATAGAAACTGCTGAGGAGCAACAGTGGAAGACGACTTCCCTAATGCATCTGGTTGATCTATTGTAAGACAGGAAATGCTTGATTGGCAGGCTTTTCTTACATTCATCTCTTCCCTATCTGGGAGGAGTATCACACAATTAGAAGTAGTCTTCCCCTGCCATATTGAAGCATCTTTTAATAATTGGGGGATACTAAAAGGTCTTAAGCATTTGTTCAAATTTTATGGCAAACTAAGCTGCCCAAAGAATAATTTTTTTAAAATAATATGCTGTGGTTTGGTGAGGGAGAACTGTATGCATTTTATTGTAATATGCTTTCCAGATTAATCTGGCCATACTTCCTTGGCAATAAGAATTGTAGATAAACTCATCTAGAGGATATCTGCTTAAGAGGAGCTGCTTGAATTACAGCTTGAAGTATCCTGAAATATGGGCAGGCAATTTGCTTTTTTAATATTTGTATTTCATCTTTAGCAGATGTAACTTAGCTTGTAACGTGGGTGGCATTAGTGAAATCAGGGGTGCAGTTAGAAACAGACTAAAGTAGTGGTCCCTAGAGTCCCTTATAATCATGATTGGGGGAAAATGCTTTGGTTCCCCACCATTTTGAGGAAGGAAACAAGAAAATGAATATATGCTCTAATATGGGCTATAGAATTGGGAAAAAAAATCTCTCACTCTCCAAAAAGGCCTAAATAAAGTAATTCCCAACCTTCCTTGTGTATGGCTTCACTTAGTTTACATCATTGCCCCTATGGGAAAACTTACTTGTGTATGGCTGCGTGGCACAGAATTTTCTTGTTCAGTAATTGTGATCTGCTGCCTTAAAAGTTAAGAACTAATTCCTGATAGCTCTATCAGATAATCTGATATTTTTTGGTCTCCTGAATTTGGATTCACATATGCTAAGCAATGGTTAACTACAGCTGGAGGGTTTCATTCAGTACACTACTGTGTCGAACCAAATGCATTATGGCTTAGTATGAACTATGAACTCTGTCAAAATCACAGTATTTCATAGTGCTATGTAGTCAGGAAAGAAGAGATTCAGAAGTAGGGATTTCCTAACCAAGACAGTTTGCTTGCAGTGATTCTTCAGAGCTGAACCAGCTGAAGTTTTGAGTGAGGTATAAAGAGAGGCTGGCCTCAATGTAGCATCATTTACAGAGTTCCCCATCTTGGCCCCCTAGATAATTATGCCATATAATCCTCAGACACCGTGACCAATAATTGCGGTAATGGGAGATATAGGCCAACATCATCCAGTTCCTGTGGTTGGGAAATTGTTACATTAAAGTAGAGTCCAGTTCTACTCGATGCAGTTCATCTAAGAATTTCCTTTCTCTGTTCTAGGGTTATTCTCAGTTGTTGTATATGATGGAATAAGGGCAAGAAACATAGGAGATGAAAGTTATTTTCTTCCTTGGGAATTCTGTGTTAAGATTTCTTCCTCCTGACATAACTTGGCAAAACTCTTAATATGAATTGTCCTTAGCAGATAGTTGAATTACGTAACTTGATAAATGCGAATGATTGAATTAGCATCCCCAATAACCAGATCTGAATTGCCTTTTTAAATCTGATCAAAGCCAATTTAGTGTACTTTCTGCCTATTGGATATGTAGTAGATGAATCATGCTGGGATAGATTATTTCCCGAGAACTGGTTGGGCCTTTATTCTCTAGACCAGACATTGGCAGCGTAATGTTGATGGGTGTTACTGCACCTAAAATAATGGTGCCAACAGAATCTAATATATATCTATATATATTTTAATGAATGGCCAGTATCTTATAAGATTTCAGTCTACGTGAGATCTTGGGGATATGTTTAGCACGTTTTTAAAGAAAAATGTGGTTTGTGTGCTTTAGTCGTGCCCACAGCCTGCAAGAGCTACCTACCATTTCTCTACATCCACTCTTGGTTAGGTTTAAACAAAGCAGGGAAAGAACTGTTTTTAAAAAGTATACAAAATAGGCTGTTTTATCCATAAACATTTTCCACATAATGGAGAATGGGGCTTGAATATTTCACACTTTATTTGAATGGTGTGAATGAGCACACCATTCAGCTTAGCTGTCTGGAAATTAATGCCAGATATCAGGTGAAATACCTAATGTATCCTGTGAAAAGCTTTGATTTAGAGCTTTTGAAATGGCCTCAGGACACAATACAGCTTTTGAGTATGGAAGATAATGATAAGAAACTAGAGCTGGGCTGAATCTAGCTTGTCTAACCTTACCAGAATTTTTTGGTTCACCCATATAGGCTAACATTTAGGCTTTTTGAGCAATTAAAGTCTAACTGTTATAAAGTATATAACTGGTATACTGAAGAGATCAAGATCTATCTATTCATTTTAGGACTCCATTAGGCAGCAGGTAATTGAAGCTACCCATATGATGGTGTGAAATGCTGTTTCAGATTGCAAGAGTAGCAGTGTTAAGCTTACTGCCTAATTTTTGTGAAGCTACTCTTCTGGGCTTAATTGACTGTTTAATTGCTAAATTATGTGCACTATCCTTCAAAATAAAATCACAATTTAAAATTTAAAGTAAAAGCAGCAGCTAAATACATACAAAGCAGGAAATCTTAAAGTATTATGACTGAACCCTAAAACTGTGTTTTAACAGTTGCTCAACAGTTGCAGGGGTGAAACCTGCTCCCCCATAGCACATTATGCACATTATCAGAAAATAGCACATAGCACAAAAGCTGAGTTATGTGTAATGTGCAAAAAAGGGGTTCTTCAGTGGAAAGTGAAACCTGTTTGAAGAACTAAAAAGACATAAACCAGCATAGTATCATTTGGGGGAAATAATTGTTTTTGCAATCTGTAAGCCTGTCACATATGGCAGAAGGGAAAAAGTCAGGCTGTTCACGCATTTATTTTTGGAATGTGAACTTGATGCATAGTGCTAAAAGATTTCAGGATTTTTAAGGTTGTTCAAAATGGTGGAATTTTTTCTCTGTTTTGCAAATGGCTGCTGGCAGGATGGTTGTGAGAATTTTCCCTGAGGGGGACCTTGATCTGCTGCATCTGCTGTGGTGACGCAACCCCAGTGAGCTTGCAGAATGAAGGATGGTGCAGAGGGAGGGGCTAGCAGGAACAGCAGTTACTGCTGCTGGTGTTAAAGGCAGAAGGATTGCTTTCAGTTAAGCTGCATGCTGACGACACAGAATCGCCTCTGGGTAAATGAATGCTGCATTGGATTCATTTCAATCTGACATAATGTTTAAATTGCATAATTGCAGTTACCATACAAAATTCTTACGGAGATTGATATCTGAGTGTAAATGCAGCAGACCCACATCCTTTTAAAATGTCATTATGTATCTATGCATTTAAGTCCAATGGAAGATTATGGGGGGCATCTAATAGATTGCCAACCTATCTAAGTTCTAAGAAGGAATGGAGGTTTTGTGTACTGTGGTAGCAATTAGGGTCCTAAGCTTCTCTATAAAATTCCTAAGGATGTTTTGCCTCCAAGTAGACATGAATGGCTGCGCTTAACCTGGAACCTAAAAATTCCCAGAGAACAGCAGGCATAAAATACTAGACTGAAACAAATGGAGGGACTGTTTCACGTAGTGTTACCATTCAACAAATGGGACTGTGAGTCTGAAATTGTATGTTTGCAGGAAGGTGTTCTTTTTTAATTTGGTATAGTTAGACTGAGATCTGATTTTAGTGCAGTATGTATTTACTAAAAACTTACATACTGGCCCCTCAGATGATTCCAGGTTGTTTAGAATAATAAAAGGGAAAAATCAACCCAGCAATAAAAAGTACATAACACTACAAAACATTTTCCAAAAAGCTTCATTAAAATTGTCTTTACCACTTGTGAAGCATTCAAAAACACCAATAGATTCCATAAGGGGGCAGCCATAACAGGTAGGAGCTGACTTTGGATTCATGCCCACTTGATTTGTTGCAAAGATGGAACCCTAATCTCCTCCCTCTAGATGTGCACCTCAGCTGGGCAGATTCCATTTACATGAACTGGTCTATGAAGTATCCTGGAGCCAAGCCACGTGGAGTGTTATAGTTCAAACCCAGCACTTTGAACTGGATTCAGACTTGTCAATAATCAGCGCAGCAACTGGGGAATAGATGTTACATTGCAATAGTATTCCTGCTTGCTAGCATCCTGGCTGCTGCATTTTCTACCAGTTGTAGTTTCTGGGTCATTTTCAAAGGCAGACTATGTTAGAATGTGTTACAGTAATCTGAGTGAAGGTTAATTTACAGTTCTTTTTTTACCACAGTCTCTGAGTAACACTGTACATAAAGATTCTAAGTTTGCCTGTCAGATCTTCCAGAGCTAGGAAGAGACTTTCCCCTGAAATCTGCCCCACTCAGTATATATCCAAGTGTGGTTCTCAGGGTAGCTGTACAATCCGTGGGACTGAAGTTCCATGAAACCACTAGATACATAGAGGAGGAACGATAATGAGATACTCTCCCCATCCCACTTCCTGATGGTATCATCCAGACTTCTTGTACCCTGTGCTTTCTAGATATGCTGGTTTATAACATCTTGCTGGCCAGGTGTAATGTGTTATTTTTCACCTATTTGAAAATAGCTTACATGATTCCACTTACATGAACTGGTCTATGAAGTGAAAATATTTAGACTGCCCTTGAATATTGACCTCAATAACATTTCTGTCTTTCTTAGTTCCAGGGTGTCTTTCAGTTGCTGTAGTAACCTGGGTCCAGGGCCTCGGTGGTGCTCCTGATGTCCCTCACCCACCCCTGAAGATCCCAGGTGGGCGAGGGAATAGTCGGAGGGATCACAATCTTTCAGCTAACTTATTTTACTCTGTAAGTACATGTGTTCTTTATAAATGGAGATTGATACAGTTTGAATTGGGGAGGGCTTGAGAAGTGGAAGAAAGAAGGTGGTTTCTAGGCTATTAAGTAGTATCTGATTTGTACCTATCTTAAGATTGGGTGTGGCAAGTTAGCTAGCATAGGAAGTAATCTTGTGGTATTGGAAAGTTTGGAGAGCAAGTCCATGCATTGTTTGGTCAGTGTGCTTATAGTTCAGGGGATCTATCAGTAATCCAAATCTGCCTTGCTTCCCTAGGATAATCGGCTGAATGTAACAGAGGAAATAACATCAAGTAACAGGACAAGAATTCTGAACATCCAGTCCAGGCTGACGGATGCCAAACACATCAGTTGGAGAACTGTGTTGAATAACAGCAATTTGTATATTGAACTTCCCAATGGCGCTTTGCCGGAAGGGAGCAAAGACAGGTAGAGCAAAATAGTTGATGAGCCTTCCTTGCTGTCAGATCATTGGCAAATTTCATATTCTCAAGTAATATCTGTAACAGTCTTTGGCCCAAAGCTGCCAAATGCTATGTTCTCTGCATTATGCTTGCAGTTATGCTCTTTCCCATGCCACGTGCTGTCTGTTTTCTTGAGTTTGGTTCATACTTTCCACAACTCTCCCTTATATTTCTTGACCCTAGGAGACATTTGTGGAGGAGGCCAGACTCTAGATCTTGATGGATTTGGGACAGAAGTTAGTTAATTAGTGGGACTTGCTGTCAGGTGATACTATAGCTCATGTTTAGCTGGAACAGTACTGAGTAGATAGAGGAAAAAGTTACCAGTGACCTGCAGTCTTCAGGAGCACGAGAGAATGATGTATTTTAATTCTCAAAACGAGTTTTCACCAGCTACATCAATAGTGTGTTTCCCTGTCAGGGTTTGAATATGTGCTTTTTGCTTTGTAATCTTGTAAAGCTAGAAGAGCATGAAGCTTAAAATGATCACAAGATTACAAAGCAAAAAAGCACATATACTTATTGTATGTAATCACAGATAAGCGCATCCACGGATAAGCCAATCCTTGAAATTTCAACCAAAATACCATGAAAAATGCATCACCCGCAGATAAGCTGACCCTGAAATTTTAACTACAGCGACAGGTGGGAAAGTGCAAACTAACTCTTAAATTACCATTTATAAAGTGACAGGCGTTTAAAAATCTGGGCTCTGGGCTGCAGATAAGCCAAACCAAATTTTTTGGCTGTATTTTGGAACTTAAAATTCTTGGCTTATCTGTGAGTATATACAGGAGGTGATTATAGATCAAGATTGCTGAATTTACAATATTCCCTTTACCTGTGCTTTACCTTCTTTCCCCTATCGCAGAACTTCCATCAGATAAAAATTATAGCTTTGAAATGCTTCTGAGGGGATGGGAAGGTGTCTCACTCTCTTCCTGTCTTCAGTTTTGCAGTTCTTCTTGAGTTTGCGGAAGAGCAGCTTCAAGTAGAGCACGTGTTCATTTGTTTCCACAAGAACAGAGATGACAGAGGTAAGGATACCGTGTGAACAGACAGCGCTTCTAAGGGGGTGTAGAGTGGGTTGGGTGGTTGGTTGTGTGTTAGCCTTGTGTCCTGTATTTCAAGGACCTTGTACTAAACCTCTTGTTTTCCCGGTAGCTTCGCTGCTCCGTACCTTCAGCTTCTTGGGCTTTGAGATTGTGAGACCAGGGCATCCCCTTGTCCCCAAGAGACCTGACGCTTGCTTTATGGCGTACACATTTGAACGAGACTCTTCTGAAGAAGACTAGATTGCAGTGTTTGCCTTTTAGAGCTTGTTCCTTGTCAAAGATGAATCTGTAGAAATTTTGTCAACATCTTATGCATCAGCATACATGCACACACATAAAATGACTTGCTCTTCGTACGAATTATTGTGACAGCTGCTCTGGTGGTGGGAAAGATGTTGAAAATTTCCAACTTTTGTCATCTTTTCTCTTTTTTTTCCCTGGACTTGTCCGCATGTTGTAATTGTGCAAAAATAAATGCTCACTCCAAATTAGCAGTATATTTCTTGGAAGTTTAATATTGTGTGTTTGTGATACTGAAGTATTCGCTTTAATTCTAAATAAAAGTTTATATTTTACTTTACTGCTGGTTTTACTGTTTCAAAACCTTTTCTCTTTAGAAAAGAATTGGCACAAATTGCTGTGTAGAGTTATCCTTGGGTTGTTACCCTTCGGGTGTACTAAAATTTAGTTAAACTTAACTTGCCTGATCCCTGTCTATGCTTAAGATAACAGGGACCATAATGCACATTTACCAGCTTGGAGGATGACACTATAGAGATTCATGAACCAGGCAGGTTAGGTGCCCAATTTTGGATGGAACAATCCACTTTGGGTGGTTGACTTTCTTCCTCCGCACTGACTAGTTAGGAGTCAAATTATAGACATTGCATTACCATTTTAAAAGTTATTAAACATTTATTGGTGTATCATCTAAAAATACAACGGTTGTGGAACTGGAAAGCATACATATGCACTCTGTCCTTGAGCTCCAGTCATAGGAGTTACTTAAACTGGAAGAATCAGGCAATGGGAAAGTAATTTTGTGAGGAAGATGGTGATGGGTTCAGAGCCCTTCATCTCTCTGACTTTCTGCTAATAAGATCTCCCATCTCTCCGCTGCCTCCCACATGAAAACATGATTGGGGCAATTTTGAATTTTGGCAATAAATTTGTCAGTGCTACTGCCTCTACCTTGATAAATTAGCCTGAAATAATCAACTCTAGGTCGCTGTTTTTCTGAATTGCCTTTACTGTATTACAAGAGTAATATTTTGAAGACCGGATCTTCCAAAGCATTGAATGGGTGAGCCTATGAAGGTAACTCCAAAGTTCCACACGCTGATATTTCAAGCTGGGGTGCAAAAATCTTGTCTCCTTAAACTGGATCTGATGTTTGGGAAGAAACGAATACAGGAATTATTTTATCTCTTTATCTGAACCAGGACTCCTATTATCTTTCCTTATTTATTGATTTCTTCATTCTCTGGTATGAAGGCAGTGTTAACTAGAATGTTAACAGAATCATGTTCCAATGGGAGGAAATTTGATCAAATATACACATATCCAGTGGTGGTGGTGGGTTTCTCAGACTGTTCTTGATACAACCATACTAGGCCCATCTCTTTCCATAATCAGATCATCCTTGCAAGGCAACCGTGAGTTCAGTCTGCAGCATAAATCAATACTCGTTTTAGGATGAGATTATGGTGGCTCCTATAGCTCAGGATTATGTTCTCGAGCTACAGTTCCCTGCAGCTGATGAGCAATGTGCCCGTGGTGAGGGATGCTGGGAGCTGCAACTCAACAGCTGAAGGGTGGTGGGACATATTTATCAGCTTGGAGGACGACGCTATAGAGATTCATGAACCAGGCAAGTTAGGTGCCCAACCTTGAGGTAGGGCAAGGAAGAAAAGGGAAACAACCTATATTTGCATTCAATTTCCACCTCTTTCCATTTTTTTTCCACAAAACATTTTGCAATTCTCAGCTTTCCTAACTGGTGTGGTGGTTCAGCGTTGGACTAAGAGTAGAGAGCCCCAGGTTCAAGTGTTCTCTCATCTATAGAAGTTCGCTGGATAATAATGGGCCAGTCACTGTCTCAGCCCAACTTACTATGCAGTGTTAGGGAAAATGTACATGGCGTTGCATTCCTGAAGGAAAGGTAGGATACAAATCTAACCATAAGTAATCAGAATGATGTGATGCATCTCTAAAGTTGGATGAGGTGTGGCTGGTGTTCATGGGGTTTTTTTTCTTTGCCTTCAAGTTATTTCTGGTTCCAGTAGGGTGTTTTTCTAAAAGTTCTTGCAAGCAACAATCAGAAATAAATAGGTTTCTTTCTTGAGCTGGGTCCTGATTGCAGTTCAAATGGAGTGTGGGGGCAACATTTTTTACTTGGGCCTGGAAGACCCCAAGTTGGATATTTTAGGTTTTTTAAAAAAATTATTTTAGTAATATTTTAGTGAGCAGAGGATGCCAAATTATCCAATTTCTCCTGATACCCTTTTAAGCAACTGATTTGATCAGCTATAGTAATAAACAAGCTCTAAGGTTTAAAAAATGCCATATCTAGACACCAGGAAAGATAGGTGAAATCCTTGTATTTTAAAATTTTGTATTTTAATTATATAATGCCCCAACAAGATTGCATCAGGTGTCAAGACAGACAAGCAGCACCTCCCACATGCATTGGTACTCCTTGGCTAGTTATTTAAAATATTTCTACATCCCAACCCTTTTATTAAATATCATCTGAGCACCTTAAAAGATAATACGAGTGAAGGGATGTACTAAGATTACCTTTATGTCTTCTCTCTCCACTGACTTATCTCACTAAGTGAGGTTCCTAGACAACAATGTTGCTATTTTGAAAAAGGCCATTGAGAAATATGCAGGTTGGCTTTTCCTTGTGCTTAGCACGAGTTGCCTACATGAAATGGCCAATTTACGCATTCCTATCAATCCTGCATCTTACTCCTTGTTTCGGGTTGCCATTTCTGTTCAGATCTTCTCTACATAATTCCCAGGAAAGAGTCCTTCTCGGCCATGGAGACGACCCTTCCACCATCCAGAGGAATCTATAAAATACAACAACAAAAAACTAGCATTTAGAGGAGACTAATCTAAACTAGGCATCCTCTAGTTGAGTGGACCAACTTCCTAGACAGCATGGCCATTACTGAGCATATGGGACTTGGTCCGTGTAGACAGAGGGACTAGTATACAATGTTCTCCATCATGTCCAAGTCCATGGGGAGACTTGCAATCTTGAAAATAAATGTCCTGTTCTTCAAAAGCAAGTATCTAGAGCTATGACTTCCAGATTTTTGAAGACAACGTTTATATTTAAAGCGCTTTTTATCAAGCCTGCATACATATACAACTATGTGAGCAAAACAGACAGATTAAACCCACTTTTGTCATATTTTTGAAGAAAATAAATATATAAAGTATGTATAAAGTACCCTCCAACTTTGCAAATAGTCCCATCTTAAATCATTCTCATTTTAAGCTTAAAGGCCCACTTACATCAGAACATAAAGTCATGGATTTCTTCTAACTATATTCCCAACCACAAGTGCAGGGACTTCCATTCCCCTGCCAACAAAAATGATTGGTGAATGATGACAACAGGGCCAGAGCAAAGTCCCCTTACCTTCCATCAAGAGGTCTATCACATCACCCACATTGAAGCTCAGCTCATCCACATCCTGGCCAAGATATTGGTACAAAGCACGGCAGCGTGGTCCAGAAACCTTGGGTTGTGGCTTGGGCCTCCCCGCAGCAGGAGGCGGCCTTTGACTAATGCTTCTTTTCCTTTGTGTCCTGACAAATTGGAGAAAAAAGAAAATGAGTAACCCATACTAAACCCAGGCCTAGTTGGTGTATTGCTGTCCCCAGCCCACCAAGGTTGGGTCACAAGTATTTTTGGATTCGGATGCAATGACCACATCAGTATGAGTATTTTAAGGTTTTATTCCAAGGCGGTATGAGAAAATGACATAATAAAATAACATACGACAGCAATCAAAGAATATTCAAGAAAAAGAAAAAAACCTAATGTCCTTCTCCCAGCCAGGGAACTCCAAAGCAGGGTTCCTCAACCTTGGCAGCTTTAAGATGGGTGGACTTCAACTCCCAGAATTCCCCAGACCATCTCAAAGTTTTGGATTGAGGATGAGAAAGATCATCTTATTCTATGCATGTGAAGGACAGGACAGAATGAAATATAACCTTTTATTTTAACAACTAAAATAAATGCTTGCTTCATTCTACATTATATGTTCAACCATTACATGGGAATAAAAAGGTTTATGTACCATGCACATAAGAGAAAGAAGTATCACACCACTATCTAATTTTTTTGGACAATCTTCTGGTGAAACTACCATCAGTGCAGCTGGCTACATTTGTACAACATCCTAAGCGTGGCTTATGTTAACTTTTGGTGGTTTGGGGGAGCTTGCAAATCCAGATCATTTGGGTTATTTCAACGTACAGTGCAAGTCCAGGAAATGGGCTAATTTGTTAACAGGATTAAGCGTATTGCAAGCTAGGTGGCCAACTCTCTGGACAACTACGTCAAATTCTGTGGTCCTTTTAATTCAAATCTTGCAAAGGGAGGCTTCTAACCAGAGATGTTCTCACAAGTATTCCTAGGCTGCATATTAAGATGGTGTCACCATCCTGGGGTGGGGAGTGGGAGGTATTCAGGTTTAACATGGAGTTTAGAGTTCTCAAAGAGGTTAGTGTGAAATTTATTGCAAATATCTAGCCATCCTAACTGAAGAAAGATGTGTAAAACCAGAAAGTACGTGGGCAAAACACCTGTTGAAATCATAAATCTGGAGAGATGGTGGTGGACCACATTTTTGGGGGAAGTGAAATGTCATGGCTTGGAGCTGTGAAAGCTTCATGTTTCGTAGCTTTTATGCTGCCCCCACAACTAGTCAAACCAGAATCAAATTATGGAAAGTTTGCATACATTTGCATATGCTCACAAACGTGCTGATATTTATTAAAGTTTTTCTTGGTACAGAACAGTGTTTCTCTACCTTAGCAACTTTAAGATATGTGGACTTCAACTCCCAGAATTCCCC